CTTAACCATTACGTAATGGAAGGGCAAGGGAGAGGGTAATGCACAGGCGTGATTGCGTGCGTAACTTGGATACCTTAGTAGCAGGAGGTGTGCGCACTCTGATTGCGTTGCATCATGGTCGTAAAACAAAAAACGAGTCATTTACATCCTGTCGCGGTCGAGTGAACATCTCTGGTGGCAGCAAGATAGCGCGAATAAACGTGGAATGTAATGGGGATTCACTGTTTGTTGCCATTCCTTCGAAAGTTAAAAAGTGTTGGCAGGCCTGCGCGACTCCTGTTATTCCTCCGTGACAAATTCGTTGTTAGGAGGCAACTGAAGAGATTCAGAGAGAATCGAAACTGTAGCCTTGCCCAAGAATCTATTCATTTGGCAGCAGTTACACTCACAGCCGATGGCTGTGTGAATAATATCAAATTCGCGAGTTATTCAACAGGGAATCAACCCTTGACATGCAAACTCATTACAAAGAGACAGCTACCTTCTTATACACGGATTATTTTTCATGTCATACACTTAAAGGTGTAAATACGGGATTCGCAAAAGGAGAAGCGTTACGCCTTCTAAGACCAAATTCGTCACGCTCAACGTTTAATAAAAAAACATACAAATTTTCAAATATGCTTAAAAGAATAGAGAATACCTAGAATAAGATTTTGAAAACCGTATCTCTGGAGTTATCTTCTGCGGGAGAGACAGTATACTTGAAAACAAAGAAAATAGCGCGCACACATGAAAATATTACCTTTTGTAACACAATCTCATTCGGCTTTGCCAAACCTCAAGAACATACAGACAGGGAAGTTACACCTTAACTAACCCTTATTATCACATCGCAAAGGAAAGTCATTAAAAGATATCTTAATAACAGCTAAGTTTTCAGGTCAGAAGATTTAAAAGCGCAAGCGAATGGCAGGAGTCTCACAAGCCTATCAACACCTTTTCACGATCGACTGCATTTTACTTTCCGGCTTACCCTGCGTGTCGCCGTGTGCATTGTAGAGTTATTTAGTGGTCAAGTGACTTCTTTCATTGCTCTAATTCAACTTTCCTTCATTCAATGATCAAGATAGTAGATTTATCATATAACACTCGCGATTAGTTAATTTGCTTCTACTTAGGTAAGTAGATTAAGACACAGTTGAGTATACAATAGTTACGTTGTGTAACGCAACAATAGGCCTTTTCTTGGTCATAATCGGTCTCAAACACTAGCACTTAAAATGCGCGAAACACATGTACCGCTGGAGAGCGTTTAGTCAGAGCTGTTGAAGAAGGATCAAAGCGGCCATCCAAATCTTTGAAAGGCTCCAAACTACGACGTACATCACATTTGACCTCCTCGAAAACTGGTCTCAAATTACATACTAAAAAAACAGTGATTGCGTTGGTCCTTGAGAACCGTAGAATATGCGACAAATATGCACAAAAAATACTTTTACACATTCAGAATAAATCAGGTTATATTTATCTATGGTGAAAGGAAAAAGGAGCGGCCTAACTTTTACGGAATGTTCCGTCAAAATCTGCCGATTTCTGCCGCTTTCACCGCCATATTGAAAATGAAGCTACCACAATGCAACGAAATTGGAGTGCGCACATCGCCTGCCTCAGTAGCGTGCAACAGGAGACACCGGTAGATGACAACGAAGTGCGCATACTCGAGTGACGAGGTACCACGTACCTAGCGTACCGCGGGCACATGGTTAGGCATTGCACGTGAGTTAGTAGATGTCAAGCCGCGTAAGCAAATAATTTGCAACCCGCGTTTTGGGCGGGAAATCACACTGGTGAGGTTGAAGTTGAAGAGAAATTCTCAGTATTTTGCAATTTCTAATCAACTTGCAAAACAAAAATACCGGCAGAACTAAAGCTTTGTCAACCAGAGGAATTTGTTATAACTCAAGTTCGTGGAGAAAGGGTTTTGAGTGTAAATAGGCTGGAAAGAAAGAGACAGAGCCACCAAAGAAAGCAAGAAGTAAAAGGCGTAAAGCGAGTTGAGAAAAACGCGCAAGAAAGTTAGAAAGGACGCTAAAATAGGCAGGATACGGCGAGAGGAACGCGAAAGAGAACAATAAAAGGCATAAGTAAAAAGACGAATATCTAGCAAAAAGCAACGTGAAAAGGAAATACATAGAGCTCCAGAAAAACAGACTGAAAAGAGGTCATCAACAAAAAGAAGCGAACTACAAAAGATCCGAGAAAGAAGAGGAGATAAGTCGTGTCTTACCTGGATTGTGTCTCACGCTAAGGCCCAGAAGAATTTAAACCTTTTTTTACCAATCGTCATTTGATACTAGCTTCAGTTTAAGATTCAAATCACGTTTCGGTACAACAATGACTTTTGCATTCATCGCGTTAAAACCCTCACGTTTCGGTAAAACAATGACTTTTGCACTCATTGCTTTAAAACCCTCGCGTCGGTTAATCGCCCAAATAACATTTCAAAGTGTTCGTATTCTTCAAGTTATTTCGGATCAATATCAGTAGCTGGGAACAGACCCTTATATAAAACTACCTTACAATTTTAACAAAACACCCCCTTGTATAACTCGTCATTATTACATAGCGACTATTCAGAGGTACAATTAAAAACCCCTGGATGTAGGATACGAATCTAAGACCCCTGGATGTAAAGAAAGCATTCACGATCGATATCGATATCTGAGCGCAGACCCCTAGATGTAAGATTTTACGATCGATATAAACATCTGGACACGGGTTTAATATGAATATGATCTTGTAAGGTCAATTTCAACATCTGAGCAGAGTATAAGCGCTGGATGTGAGAATTCACCATCAACACAGACCCCTGATCGTAAGATTTTTCGATCATTATCTACATCTGGGCACAGACTCGTCAAGTAAGACACGTTGATTTGAACCCGTGATTGTAAGAATCCCTGATCGTAAGAACCCCTGATTGTAAGAACCCCTGATTGTAAGAACCCCTGATTGTAAGAACCCCTGATTGTAAGAACCCCTGGTTGTAAGAATCCCTAATTGTAAGAACCCCTGGTTGTAAGAGCCCCTGATTGTAAGAACCCCTGATTGTAAGAGCCCCTGATTGTAAGAACCCCTGAATGAAAGACTCCTGATTATAAGAACCCCGACTGTAAGAACCCCTGATTGTAAGACCCCTGATCGTAACACAGTAATATTTGCCTTATCCTAAACTTGGACTTTACTCACCTTGATTATTCATTGAAGCGTACATCAAATAATATGGTTTTTCCTCAGGAGCAGGTCCAAATCAGAAACAAATATTTCTGAATTTGGTGCATTTGCTGTCATTTGCAATACAATTCATTTCTACTCCTCCCCAACCAGATTTAACTATTTGGCTGATTAAAAATTTGTTAAAATCAAAGAAGGCTGAGATGTTGAACAAACACACACTACAATTTGGCTAGTAATATAATACTGAGGATGTGGTGGTGAGACATATGAAAATTCATGCCAACATGGCTACATGATTATCTAAATCCACTTGAGTAAGGGAGGTATGAAACTTGGTGCATTGTCAATCCAACAAAATCACCATGCCCAAATTCTGGGCATTAAACACTTAAGAACACATCACTCAAAAATAGAAATGAAAGTTTATTGATTGAACTGTCACAAAAAAAAAATTATTGATTCTTGAAAGTCTGCAGAAAAAAATAAAATATGTTTTAATAAAAGTATTCTTCATAAATATTCTTCACAAGTGTTCTTCAAGTTTTAAAATAGGAATTGGACTTTATTTCAAACCACTGACTATAATAACAACTGTACTGTCTCCACAGCCATCTCCCTCACTTTCACAGTTGAGTGGATGTTTAGAATATTCTTAGAAGATGTATCACAAATTACATTGAAATTGGAGAGATGGTAAGTTTTGAGCTTGGTAAAGAAATAAAGAAAGATGAAATTTGGTTTTTTCAACAGCGTGGAACAAAGATTCTGAAGATCTGAGGTTCAATTCCTCATGGGCACTCAGAATTTTTTCTTTGTCCCATGCTATTAAAAGAACAAAAATCATCTTTCTTTAAAAATTACATTGTTTATTTGTGCTTTGATCACCAAAAGAAATGTTACATTTTCACTGAAAAAAGACTTGAAGTCGATATCATTTCAATTATATTTCATAATTACTCTCTATGAATCCTTGCTGGTCTTCTTTTTCTGATCTAGAAATGAATGATCAAATGTAGGGTTACTTGCGTCAAAGAATATTCACCTAGTTGTTTCCCAAGACTTATTGAGGGAACAATTTCTCCAGTGTTCAAAGTGTTACACATGAACCATTTGAATTATCATTTCAACCCTGAAAATATCACTTTGCCTCTCTGATATTACCAGTGCTGCACATGTGGTACAGATTCACAACATAATGAGGAAATTTGCATTTGATCCACTCTTGAAACTCATGGAAAGAAACCTTAACTGCACTGGCAAAGTTGCTGGATTTTGTCATCATATTGGAATTGTTAAAGAGCATCAATTATTTAGACCATCAATTGCAGGCAAAGTTATATCAAGGATTTGACTACAAACAAAAACTCCAAATATTCTGTAATCAATCAAAGCAAAATTTCACACTTTGTACCAGAGTTTTCACAGTTTCAATGAAGTACAGACATTACCTTTACAGTTTCCACCTCAGTTTCATCAAGGCTCTCCCCAAGATCAGTCTGCCAAATAAGATTGGTGCATTTGAATTATTTTACTTTGATAGATACATGTAATTTACATGGGACACACAAGTGATAACTTCCTGATTTCCTGGTCTACTGTAATAGCAATTGTGCTGATTTTAAAATTATCATGATTACTATTAACAGTTTCTTATCATAGCACCACATTGTCTCTAGTGAAAAAAACAAAAGCATTTATGTTACTTGTGTATGCATTTCTGTTGATGAGTATTTCCTGAAGTTCTACTTTTCAGATATTTTTCATGGTTATTAATTTCTTCCTGTATGTTGTTATAAAAAATCAATTAAAAAAATATTTACCTTGTTTTCTGGGTCTTGAGGTCTGTCCGCCTTTGAAAGAAGTGAGACACACATGTAAATAGATATGTCCACATTTAAAAATATATTTTAGAAGTACTACAACTGTAAATGTGCCACATTAACCCTTTAACTCCTAGAAATGATTAACATGTACTTTCTCCCTATAGTATTGATACATTATCTAGCAAACAGGTAATGAGAATACTCAGACTTATCAGGTACAAGATATTATCTTGATTGAATACAAAATTCTTGGAACCAATTTACAAGGAAATGTGTAGCAGCTAGAGGGGAGAATTACCAATCAGATCTTGGAAGTTAAAAGGGTTAATATCCTGCTCTTTTAAGGGTCACAAATCTTTTAAAAATATATCAAAACTTGAACTTACTATAACCTCTGTTTGGGTGTGATTGGCCCTGTCAGAAACCTCCTGCAACAATGGAATTCATAAAAAATAATTCATGACACCACTTCATAAAATACATTTCAAATAAATTAAAGCCAACAATCATATTTCCATTTTCCTCAGTCTTGTTTGTATTTTAATTTTTCTATTTTACGAATAAAAAAATATACATCATGATTTCTTTTTCTGATAGCAATTCACATCAATGTACCTAATATTTGTTTTTCTAGTGCATACTGCTATCTGTGAACAAATGAACAAGTGGTGGATGCGGATTAAACTATCTTTGGTACATAATTCTAAATCAGTTCAATGCTTCCAATTTCATCTAAGATCTATAAAACTTACAGAAGCTTGAAACTCTTTGTCTTGTTGTGCCCTTAGAGCTCTATCCCTTTGCAAGAGATCCCTGTGAATTCAAATTAATGTAAGTTGAGTTACAAAATTATGGCAGTTATAGTTAACAAAATAAACAGGACACTGTGACATTTACCTGTGAGCTTTAAGAGCACGTGATGCCTCCCTGGCTTGCCTGATTGCCTCAATCAGGTGTCTTAGAAGGCAACTGTCATTTCCTGAAAGATATACCAAGATATTACACAAAAAATTGGTAAATTTTATGACAAAACATCATACACTTGTATTATTTGATTGTATTATTATTTGTTTTTTGTTTCTTAATCATTTTAAAATTTTCAAGTTAGAAGTAAATTAAGAGATTTGAAATTGTGGTAAGTTATAAATATGAGCTACAAGATACGATGTGAGTGACACGAATGCTCAGAGACCACTGACCAGCTATCATGCTGCCAACTATCATCCTGTTTGATGATAAAGTGGGGTGCATCACCCTTATCTCAACATCATCATCATACAGGGATTGCTGATGTTTTCCACAAGCCATGGAAATAAGATGATCAATCCATTACATCACTAAATACATGATAGTGTCTCTGGTGGAAACATATTCATTTTGCACACAATATTCATCAACTTGTTGTTTGATAGTTAACTTGTGTTTGTTCCTTAAATTTTATTTTCAAGACAATCTTGCATTTTATGATGTGCTTGCCATGGTAAATTTTCAATTGAGGTTGCATGCCTTAATCAATGAGAACTGACTTCTGTTGTCCAATAGACTGTTGTCTCACTGGTGAATTTAAAAATAATTTTATGTTGATTTTCTTGAGTTACAGCTTGAAAATCATGAGGGTCACTAGGTGAACCATCAGTGTCTCAAAAGCTAATAATAATGGTGGGGAAAAGCGAGGTTGATTCAGAAACAGAGGTTGGTAATCAAGCCCACGTCCTTACCATTGTCATCAAAAAGGCTGCCTCACAGGGAGGCATATAGGTAGCAGATTCCTAACACTTTGGCAATATCCAACAAAGCTCTAAAATAAATCAATAGTGTGTACTGAATTCAATAAAGTGATTGATACACTGATACTATAAGACTTGTGCACCTCAGCTTTATTCATATATGGTTAACTAGAATCACCTGTCACTAAAAATGACATGCATGACTATCCATCCTCACTCTGATTAAAATGGATTTAGGTCAGTGTTGGTTTAATCAATGTCAAGCCTGCATGTAAAATATTGTTGAAATATACTGGAAGTATACCTAAGGGTATCCATGGCTTTTTGAGTTGCCTTGTACCTAATGAACACCAATGGAGTGAAGTCCTGGTGGCACTGCTGTTTCATCTGGGTTAAAGTTTTAAATATTGAGATTACTGACAATGTAATTGCTTTCAATTGTAGAAATGCAAAAAATTTGTCTCTTTCAAAAAATATCATGCACAACCTATTAGTTAATATGACAAGCATTTCTAGACTGAACTGTGATGTAACCTTCAGCTGGGGATGATTCACCTGTCATTTTATATTACATGAAATTGTTTTTGAATAACAGCGTATAAAACTTCAAATAACGTTTTGCAAATTTCATGCTGCGAATTTGAATATTTTTCAATGAACAAACGATATACCTCGAGGAGACGACAGCGCAACGAAACAACCAAATCGCAGAACGAGCGGACGCGAATCTTGAGTGCAGTCATTCCTGAAAATATCGACATCCACAACAGAGCGCGTACCCCTGAGAAGTGTTCTCCGCGGATCTATTTGCCATTTTCAAAGCAATCTATTGAGGCAACTGCACGTGGTTCAACCTCTCTCGTCTGACAGCTCCTTTCATTTGGTTCCGTGAATTCGAATTAGATTACTGTTATCTTATGACCTATCGTTTTTCTCGCAAAATTCGCGGAAGAGAAATAGCAGGAGTCTGGAAGCTAGCTAGGTTGGTGACCGCTGACTGAAATACAGGAGAGTTTCAAGATGGCGCGAAATGTAGGAGACAAATGTGAACACATTACTATACTAAAATGGTTTGTTCATCGTTTTAGTTCTCAGCGGCAGAATTTCACCAAAATTGGTATGTATTTCCATACATGGTAAAATTTCCTTTGTCATGAATCTTTTATTTAGCACATGGTAGATAATTTTACAACATGTTTTAATCAAGAGTTTCATTCCACTACATATATCTAACCCAAGGTATCTTTCTGGACTGGAATGTGAGAAATGGTATGGTACTGTGTGTTAACTTACTTTGTAGGTATAATTTTCAATAGTCTGTCGGAGTATGTCCGGGTAGCCGAGTGAGGTTGATAAGTTACGATGTTTTGCCTTTTTTTTTTTATCTTAAACAGGGTTGTAAAATGAAGAAATTTTGTCTTCGTCCTTAAATTCCCAAGATCTGTTTGCTAATTCTCTCCTCTAGTTGCTACACATTTCCCTGTACATTTGTGACCTGTGTACCAAACCATGGTGTTCATTTGGAACATAAGATATTGCTGTGGAGAATCATTTGGCTTCTTCTAAAAATATCCAGCTAAATTTTGTTTGTCAATTTGTTTGTCTGTTTGTTTGTTTTTTCCTCTCTTCCATCAAGCATTGAGAATGTTAGATCTGTCATAGGACACTGCTCTTATGCTGATACATTTAACCTGTTGACCCCTAAGAGTGACCAGCATCTAATTTCTCCTTACAATATCATCCTTGAATCAAACATTAAGGTCTCAAGAATAAGGGAAATGATCACCAACTTAGCTCTTGTTTGTTAAACAAATTCTCCTTGTCAATATCCTAGGAAATGTATAGAGAACAGTATGGAGAATATGCATACTGAGTTTTAGGTGTTAAGGGTTGAAAACAAACAAACAAACAAACAAAAAACAGCAAAATAATAAAGACAATGTTACACAGCCATCAAGGGTGAACTTAACGCAACATTGTTGTAGAACTAAAATGTTTAACACATGGATTGTTATTCCTTCTTCAGTCCAGTCAAACTTAAAGAGAGAAAAGCGGCTTCTGCTCTTGATTTCTTTGGTTCTACTTCATTTGAAAGGGAATCTAGGAAAACATTTGCCAAAAGAGAAAACAGGTGAATAACTAACTACTCTTGTTTTGCCCACAATTTTTTTTAAAGAAAAAATGAGGCATCTTGTGTATTTTTAACAGTACTTCATGCATCATGCATTGAACAGGGAAAACTTTAAACCTCACCATACCTTGCCTTGCTATGAAATTCATGCATCACATGTTAATTTTTGGGTTTAATCAAGCATTCCTTGTAAACCCTCTGCCAATCTGTTACAGTTATATCAGGATGAACTACAGTGAACACATACCATGTCACAAAATTAATGGGTAATGACCAACTGAGGAATAGTTTGGGCAAAAATGAAAGTCCTTTCACCTCTAAGATATTTAAATCAATTCTCTTTGCTGTCTGTCATACAAGTGTTATGACAATATCTTTGAGAATATGGTGTTCAATCAAATGATATCTTCTGGTCTGATGATTTTCTTTCTTCTCTTTAAATTGCTGCTTGACTGTGAATTGGTATTGTTATGAGAAATAAGAAAATCAATAAATCTTGAGAGTACCAATTTTAAGCAATTTTAAGTAGAACCATTGTGAATTTTTTTTTTCATTTCACTCAGAGATCTGACAAGTCTGAAGAAAATGAAGAAGAGTATGCAAATGGGAGGGAAAAAGAAGGAAGAGAAAATGGGAATGTCAACCATCACACAATGGAGCAACCATCAAAGAAAAGAAAGGAAGACTTCTCAGAATCAAAGTCTGAGGTTAAAAAGCCTTCCCCTGAGAAGAAAAAGGTTTTGTAAGCCTTTTGATCACCATCCTTTATTTTCCAAATTAATCAGTACTATTAATACTTAAACATGCTACCCTGATAAACATTTTATGACTAAATTTGGCTTAATATAAGATCCAAAAGCTTACTCAAACTTGTTAACTGGTGGTAAATGTCAGTTGTATATGTAAACCTGTCCTACTATGAAATTAGATGGTTTTTACTCAGATGCATGTTGCTAACAATACTTGGAACAAAACATTACTTTCAATACTATAACCACTCAAAATACTACCATTACTGTACCTAGAATTTACACTAAATAGTGACTGTGGTGACAAAACTTTTAGGTACAGTCTTGGTGATTTTAACTTTGACAATCCAGAAAGATGCTGCCACTTTGTCTCCATTTTTCAAAGCAGCAGTGTCTTTCACCATCAACATTCCTATTTGGGACAACTCTGGCCTTGTGAGGACAACTCTCAGCTGTTAGAATGTTTGATATACATGTAACTTTTGTTCACTTCAAATTTTATCCATGGACTTTTCAGGAAGTACCAAAGACAACTCCTGCTAGCAAACTGGCTGCCAAAGCTGCCACAATTCCAGAAACTCCAGTTAGAGACTCAAAACCAAGTCCAAAGAAAACTGTTTCTCTGAAAAAGGATAAAAAAAGATGTCTGTAAGGAAACTCCAATCAAAGGAACACCAAAGGTGTCAAAATCAGAGGAAGTGGTTGAAGTTCCACCCTCACTGGAAGAGAAAAAGATCTGACTACCATAATTTTATGGCAAGAGATGGTCCTAGGACACTTGATTCAAAGGAAATCCCTCAGGTAGGATTCAAAGACCAAGATCTGATTGTTAATTGTCCCCTCTACCTGCTACACATTTTTCTGTAAATTAATAATGAGAATTTGTTAGATCATTATAACACAACTACATGTGCCTGATGAATTTTAGTATTCTCATTACCTGTTTGCTGGATGATGTATGGATATTCTAGGGAGAAGTTATGTTAATTTCTTCCAGTAGTTAAATTATTATTATCTCTCAAAGCTCTTTGTGATTTGTTTTCCATCCTTTCAAATTTTAATGAGAGATGCAAGACAAAGGAAAATGACGATTATTAGAATTAAAACTGGTTTGGAAAATTTTCAGATACAGTTTATAGAAAAAATTGTAAGATGCATGCTCTGATTAAACAAACAAATGTATTTTATCCTTTTACTCTCAGTTGTTGTTCAAATGTTGGTTCAATGTCAGTATCTGAGAAACTGCCTACCTACCCCTTCACTGATCCAACATTAACCCTTATCAGCTGATGGTTTTTTGGGTTAGGGGAGGGGTGGGTGCACAGGTGCTGACGTTGATCCCAAATGTTTATAGTGTACATGTATCTACAGAGTATTTTTCACTTTTCATCATTTATAACTTTTCAGTTTAGACAATAATAAGAGTCCTTCAAGGGAAGAAGTAATTATTTGTCTGCATATCTTGAATCATGCATGCACTTGATAATTTAATTTTTAGGGAGCGGAAAACTGTTTAGATGGACTGAAATTTGTTATTATAGGAGTCTTGGAAAGTATTGAGAGAGAGGAAGCAGCTGATTTGATTCAAAGATATGGTGGAAAAGTTACCCAATCAGTGAGCAAGAAAACAAGTTATGTCGTTATGGGATGGGATCCTGGAGGGCATAAACTTTCTAAGGTACATTGTAATACACAGATCAAAAAAGGAAATAAAAAACAGAAACATGAACACCAACATATAGGTTGCACCTTTTTCCCTAAATTTTTGTAACAAATCTGGGATGCGGCTTACTGCAAAAATACCAGGGAAACTTGCCACAAATTTGCATATATTAACTCAATTCATTGATGATTCATAAGTCTGTGTAGCAAACTAACAAAAACTAAAAAAAATTCCAGGAAATTAATTATTTCTTTTGCACGTTTGTTGGCTTCTAAAAGAGCTGTTCTAGTTAATAGGCAAAAGCTCATATTTCTTGCTGAGGAGGTTATTAAACATTGCGGATCAATATCAGTATCTGTGCAACTGCCCACCTACCCCTCCCCTAACTCAACAATAGTCAATTGATAACAATTAAGGGTTAATGTTGGGTTAGGGGAGGGGTAGGTAGGTAGTTGCCCGGATACTGATATTGATCTAACATTGCTTTGTTTAGAGACCCATTAAATGATTTAAGGTTGTCTCTACTTCCTTGAACACCTAAACATTACTGGATAAGGAAATTATGGTTTCTTTGTTGTTGTTGCTCTTTTTTTTTTTTTTTTTTGGTTCTTATTTGCTAGGCTAAGGCAATGTGGAACATCACAAATAGATGAAGATGGTCTGTTTTAGCTTGTAAGAGCAAAACCAGGAAATGAGACCAGCTATGAACCACCAAGTGTGGAGAAGAAGACAAAGAAGAAGGAGAAAACTGAACCAGTGGAGTCTCTCAGCCAGAGAAAAGATCACTTTGAAGGTGATTTGTCACAACTGAGTGAAAGATCTACATCATCTCCAACAATACAAACACTATCATCATCACCTGCACTGAAAGGTGGGTGTTTCAAACCTTTCCAACAATTAGCACAAGAGCATGACTTCACTGAAATTTAATTCACACTTCAGCCGTATGCCTTAAATTTCCTCACCAGTGAGCATCCTACATGTATTGTGCAGTGATCATAATTAGTGAATATAATCTGTCTTGTGTGCATCCAGGTGCATTTGTACAACTTACTGATGACATAAATACATGTTTCCTAATTCCCACATTCAGAGATACATTTTTTTAAACAGCTGTAACTTGTGAACTTTGATGAATTTACTTCACTCGACAGTCACTTCTACATGTAGTAAGTATGTTAGTAATGGAATCACAATTTTAAACATTTTTATTTGCACAGCTTTCTTTTTCAACAAAGATCAAGATGGGTCGTCGTTAAAGGAAGCTCTTCTGTCCGGTTCCCCAGGAGTTGGTAAAACAACAACAGCAACACTGGTTTGTGAAGAGCTTGGTTTTACGTACATTGAACTGAATGCCAGTGACACACGGAGCAAAAAGACCTTGGAAGAACACATTTCTCAGTCATTGAGCAATAAAACCATGGATGGCCTTCTGACAGGTTGTCAAATTTCTGTAACATTTGGAATGACTTTGATATTATTAAAGATGCTTCATTCATTCTCCAGTCGTACTTAACTGACTTTCTACTGTAGTTAATTTATTATTTTCAACTGAGTTAGTAACGTAAATTACAGCTCTATGGGTCAACTTTTCCTTCAAAACTTGTGAAGTTTCCAAGCCGACAAGTCGCCCTCATCATTAATAAGAAAATTTCCTTCACTATGCTTTCGGTATGTGTGTTTCTCTTGTGGTGTAAAACACCTAAGTAACGCGTTAGGTCTCGTTCGTTTTGGTTATATAATAAGTGAATAACCCACATCTCTTGCTCACCCGAGTTCCACGTGCGTACTGTAAGTTCAGGAGCGAGTCTTTTTGTTTTGGTTTTTTTCCGCTTTGATTCGCGGCGCAAGCGCAAAGCCGATAGTTTGGTCATGATTTCTAATATGTACTCATAGACAAAGGAACTATGCTCATTCTCCCCAGTCCTTTCAGCGCCCTTCGATCAACCTAAGCAGGCGACCATCACACCAACTTTAAAAAAAATAAATAAAAAAGTAGCATGTTTATGTCATTGTGCTACAATCCGGATTAATGAAAATGAAAAGTCAAAAAATGTAATATGAGGCCCTGTCCAAACTTGGCCTATAAATAGTGAAACAGCATAGTCACAAAATACAATCATGGATCACGAAATAAACAATGACACACGATTTTCAGTTTCGAGTTCGATGAGCTCATATTCAGCTTCTTCGATACTGCTGGTGTTACCAAGTGCACCGTTTTGTTACACACTTGTGGGGCAAATCACATTTTCACAGGAGTTCAGGTGAGAACAAAATAAGTTAACCGCGACCTAATGCAATGAATGAGATAAACGGGTATTGACTAAAGATACAAATAGAAATAATTTAAAACATGAGACAAACGAATGAAAGAATTATCGATCTTGTTTACTCGTCACGAACGCAGGATTGAATCTTAGACCATCGGATTTTACGATCTGAAGTTCAGCCAAAAAGCTATATATTTCTCGTTAATGAGCCATGGCATACAGTGGATACATAAAGGATCATCCTGCATACTGCTCAGATCGTCAATGTCGAAAGTTTCATGTCTTAAAATACATAAGGAAAGAAAGTAAATTTTAAGCTCTTTCGTGACAAAGGAAAAAAATCATTTTTAACCGACGACCGAAAAAAAAAACTTATCCGTCAAGTCAGGTTAAACGACAGATTAAATGTCAATGCTGACATGTAGATAAACATACCAGACCTTGAGGTGGCTTACATATCTTCCCATAAGGAATTTACGAAGCCGCGGCATTTCTGATTCCATTATCATGTGTGTAACTTGTCTGTATGAACTATTATACATTTATTTATGGCCTCGCTTCCTGCATCCAAACTCAGCAGACAATTCTGGAGCTCAAAGAGACAGAGAGCTAGGGCCTCAGATTTCTCTTCCAACTTAAAGACAAATGGTTCAGTAACAATTTATTCATAAAATTCCTGTAGGATACACTGAGGGTTTCTATACACAAAGATGCATGGTGTACACAGATTTAACAAATTTTGAATATCTTCCTCGGATATTTCTTTAAGAATAGTATTTATGGTATCGCTTTAATTCTTTCCAAGACGCGAAACGATTTAAATATGCTTTTCTTTAGATACAACGACAAGTCAAGTATTTTTCTTGCAAAAGAACTTTATTGGAGTTAATTTACTGCAAATATTCTTGAGGTGAGGAAAGTTAATGAAGAAATCTGTAGCATATTATAATCAAAATAGGAGAAAATTGGAATAAAAAGTATACATAAAGAATACATATTATTGATGTGATTTCTTAAGCTTTGTATCTCTCTCTCGTGATTTCACTGGACAACTACGCTTTTGACTGCAAAAATATTAAGTGCAGAATTGGCGGGAGTTATTTACAAGAAAAATGCCTACCGTTATTATTTTTAGAAACTTCATGAAGTTGTCACGGTGAGAGCGGAAAATGAAAATTTGAGAGAACTGTAACGCTAACGGGAAGATGACCAAAACAAATGTGTATCATATTGAACGAGGGATATATCGAGTTGATTACTTGAAGAGAAATTGCATCTGATCAATATAACTCACGGTGTGAATTCATCCTTATCGATTCAGTTATGGCAGAGTGTAACATGTCCTGCTCTGAGGAGAAAAGGGGTTTTGCGGATTGCGAGTGTTTTGCACTTAAAGAAAAAGAGCTAAATTTAAATCACAGAATTAATTAATCGCCATGGAGAAACATGTAAACAAGTAATAATAAAAAAGAATTAAAAAAAACAAACATAAAAACAGGCGAAATAACTTTCTTAGAGAAGAACAGCAATTTTGATCACGAAACTGGACATTAGATGAAGTTAGATTTTTCAAACTCGTGAATATGTTACCTTCATTGTTTTATCGAAATTGTTGTAGAGCAAAATATTATGTTTGATATTTTCAGGGATGTAGAATTAACAAATGATATCATTTGGAGAATAGAGGGATTCAGAGGATAACAGTTTAACAGGTACAAATCAATTTTCATTCTGTAACTGATTAGAGCTGTTTAGAGCTCATTTTATTTATTAATAAAGGTCGTAATCTTAATTTTTGTGCAGCTGACAACAGTTAGGTTTAATTTCAGTCGAATTTTCTCGGTTATTGTTGTCAGACGTGAAAGTATTTGTCTTACATACACTTATAAATTTCATTGGTTTCTCTCATTTGCCTCGTGGTTAAATAGTCTGCACGCGATGCAATTTCTTAAACCCTTAAACTCCTAGAAGTGATATAACTTGTGACTTATCCCTGTAATATCAGTACATTGTCCAGCAAGTAGGTAATGAGAATACTCAAAGTTTTATTTAGCAGAATTGGTTATTTTTGGTTAACGCCAAATTTTCGTACCTACTTTGAAAGAAAACATGTAGCAGCTAAAGGGGAGAATTAACAATTAGATCACGAGAGTTGAAGGTTTAAGTGTGCGTGATGATTATGCGGCAGAAGCGTGATGAGCATGTGACAAAGCTAGATAACGTGCTGTATATAATTATAGCTCTCGTCAATATCAAAACCAGCAAACATCTCTCGAAAACAAACGAAGTTTGAAACACAGCTCGAGGTTGAAATAAAAACACACAATCCGTACGTTTCTTTTGATATCGTAACATTCGCGATATATAGTAATAATAACGGTAATATGGTTGTCGGTGAAGTACCAGAATTTTTTCAGTTTCCAAAACGTGAAATCTCTACCGCACGCTGTAAATGTACCATTTATATCATCACATATAAAGGTATCAAGGTCGTCATTCGAACCAAATTATCAACATGACAGATTTACTTTCCATGTGGGCTTTTTTTTTCAATTGTTTTTTTTTACATGAAGCTGAATTCAATTATTTTTCAAAGGAAATAGTTCTTGTAATAAGAAACGGTTGTATTACGATGTCCGAAGTTGAATTGTTTTGCGGCGAGCTGAGTTTCGGTGCAGTGAATCTCTTGTATTTCATTCAAATTTACAATCAGTACTTTTAAATAAAAAGGATGATACATGTCCGCCTGTGGATACGAATTTATCTGTTTCAATTGAATTATCTCTTTGAAGGTGCAAAAGATATCATGAACACTCGATGGTAAAATTCGTATTCACGCGCGGTTATCTGATACCTCATATATGCGTGTGTATTACTGAACAAGTGTGAGCTTAAGAAGGCTGTACATCGACCAATTTCCCTCACTACATTTTAAGGACTGAGACGAAGTCTTCGTCAGCAAAGGATCGAAGGATATATCACATGCTAACAAAATATTTTTATGCACCATGGAATTACCAAATAAATCTGCTAGTTACGTTGTGATTTTTGTTTTTGTTTTGTTTTCATTTAGGCCGAATCTGTGACCTCTATTTTAGACAAAAATACTTGAAAAGCTTTTATTCATGTGACAACAATATACTGTTTGGTCACGAAATTATACAAGGTATTCAACAGGCTACAAGCATTTTTTTTTTTTTTGTGGGGTATCGAAGTGGGAATCGAAAGAAAACACATTTTGCACTCTTGGGTAGCCGATCAGAGCACAGGTTTCCTGCTCGCTGGCGGGTCCCACCTAAACATATAAATAGCAGAGAAATTGGGAAAACGTGTCAACAAAAGTGAAATTTTCAACACCAGAATCACGATGACCACGATTTCTTGATTACGTATGAAAACGAAACCTCGTCAACGACACGATTAATTATTCCGGTTTTTTTAAACGCTTTGGAACATCAATCCAACTCCTCGCGAAACTTGCCTCGGTAATCGTCGAAGGTGAATGAATTTTTGTATTCAAATGTTCGACATACTTATCTATAAGGTGGTTAGTGGCATCATTTCTAACTGGTTATCGGTCAGAGTTCGGTTTTAGTAGATATACCTTTTCACGCGATGACAAACTAAATGGGCACAATGTTTGCGTGTTTACATCGTGCGCTGGAAGATAAAACTGTGGGCTCAGTAAATGCTGATATTGGAGTAGAATTCTGTTCTGTAGGACAAGACCACTTCAGCAGCTTCAGGGAAATGTCCTAAATTTCCCATTCTCTATAATAAAGCAAAAGATTCTTTTTTGATCAGCAATTCGTTCACAAATAATTTTTCAGTTTCATTTTGCTTTCAGTCTACTTCCTCCGCCAAATGCTCATGGCCTGGCAGTGAATCCATTCGATGGCCTACAAGATTAAGCTATGCAGGAGTCTCTTGGTTGCACATGGCTTTCAATTTGTTGTAGATGAAGTTTCTTGATAACAAGAGTTTTGATGAATAGGACACTTTCCAATGCCATCTTCTCCAGTCCCTCAAAATAACTTCGTATTCAGTGCCTTTTTTGAATTCGAAATGAAAAAATCGGATCCTATCCCAACATAACTAGGAGAGGGACCAGCTCTTCCAGTTATTCTAAATTTCCTGGTTCCTTCAAAAAAAATTAATAAAGGAGTTTATGTACTAGAACTTATAATTCTGTTAAAAAAGACTTCGTCCAGCAATTTTCGATAGCTTTGAGGGACATTTTACACATGCACTTTGTAGAGGAACAGGGTCGATAAACGAGTTTCTTTACGCAATAGGCTCGCGGGGTGTTGGCAGAATTCGTGACGGTAACGCAAACCCTCGAAGATGTCTCGGTTTTGAATAAGTTTCGCGAATTCTCCCAGTCCCACAAGCGATGAAATGAAGGAATAAGAGAAAGAGTCTTTTATTGCATTAATTTTGATGCATGCTTATCCATGCCTACCGGGTACAACTAGGTTGTTTATTGCAACTCACTTATTTTGACGAAGGACAGCCTTGAACGACGTTTCATCAGATGAGACTACGAAAACAAACAAACCATTAAAAAAACAAACATGACACAACCCGTGGAACTTGACTGGGGCTGTCACGCAACCACAATAGCGCGACGGAAGAGACTTTGAGATTCTTATTCTTCCTCTGTGATTAAGTATACAACGTTTTCTTTAGGTTACTTTCATTCGAGTCTCTTCTTTTTTATTTTTAACAATGTAGCGCAGTACAATCGTCTAAATTTTATTTCTAGCTATGGCAGAAAGCAACCTCCCAACAACGGGAGAAGAACTGGAGGTGAAGAATGAGTTTCCAACTACAGGTGAGAAAACGCAACAGGGAAAGACTTAGTTATAGTGATTTTGTACTGTTTGTTAATTAAGTATATCTTAATTCTGGTGTACTATTTATTAGACCACTTCGACTGGAAGGTTCTAGGAATCCACTAAATACGCCAGTATTAGAACGCTAGTTGTAATTGCACGTAGTTGTGATCACTAACAAAGTTGAAATATCCTCTTAGTAATTTCAGCAACAGAGGAAAGTCAAGTTACGTCAAGTTATGCTGAACTGGATGTATACAATGATCCTTTAAGAGGTGAGAAAACCAGGTGAAATAAGATTGTTTGAAAGACGCCCCAGTAAATATTTTGTCACATTTATATCAAAATTTGTGCATGTTCTGTCAATAAGTTTTTGAACCAGTAAAAGATTGTTTCTTCAAATTCAAACTCTGTTACCAGTAAAATGAAAACCAAAGGAAACAACAATTTATTGCTCGATCCTCTCAAGTAAGAATGGGCCAAAATTTGCCTACAAAGCTTCTGAGTTTTAGAAGTGCTTACTTGTAAATCAACGCACAATGTTTTGGAGATTAACGATGTATCTAAAATTTACACCTAAAATGAACGATATTTGCACAGAAAAAGTATTATCCTCTTTGCTCTTGAAAGTATGCTAAATTTGGTCATTTTTAGTATGAAAGTCATTTTCGGTAAGAGAGAGCTGTTTTTCTGCCCGTAGACCCGTCAAAGTCGAGTTTTGAAAAATTTGCAAACGGGTAACTTTTTTAGGACGCCAAAAGGAAAGTATTTACGCTAACACCTTCTTGTCCTTTACTGTTCAATACATGTTTGGCAGAAATTTTACGCAATTTGAGAATTCTACAAGGAAGAGGAGGCATTTTGTCATTTTATCAGAACATTAAAAGTTTTATCCTTTTTCGGTCCTTGCTTTGCTTTGCTTTATGCATTTTTTCTCAGTAACTCTTGGAGTTTTATAATCTAACGTGATATTTTGGAAAGCGTAACGCAGGTGTAAAAAAGGGTTTTTGGAAAGTCTCTCGACCTAAAAAATGTAAACCGAACAGACTTGATCTGGTAATAGCCAAGCTACAGCCCAGACTCCCAACAGCTTATACATTTTACTTAAACAAACTGTACAGGTATTAAACTTTTCTGATTTTTTTTTCATAGCTTTAAGCTCCTGTAGCCTAAAAGCTCGTTTGGATATATAAAGTTGGCATCATCCGTCAAGGGTCGTTTCACTCATTACTAAATCATTAACACTAAAACGTTGTGTTTTCAGAAATAGCGAAAGTATGTCTGGAGGAAGGTAATAAAGAGTACAGACAAGGAGAAGCTAATAACGCGATAAACTCCTACACGGAAGGACTTCAAGTGAACTGCAAGGATAAACGACTGAACGCCAAGCTTTACAGCAACAGGGCAGCAGCTCATTTCCGTTTGGGTAACAATTTCATATGTAAACATATAAATCTGTCGTGCAGCGTTACAAGGTAACAGAATACACAATCTGCATCAAGGAAAGAAAAAACTTGAGCAACTGCAGAAAAGTAACATGAAAACATAAATCGCCCTGTAGCGGATGAAAATTAAGCAAAGAAATGATCCTCGTAACATTTTAAGCAATTGTAGTTTTTTAAGGCTCCTTTGCTGCAATTGCATATGATGAGCACTTTTTTAAACTTCATTTCCTGAATCTCATAGCAAACTACGTGGAATGTCTGGATGATGCAACAGTTGCTGTTCAATTGGAACCCACTTTAATTAAAGCTATTAAGAAAGGTGGGTTTTTCAGACATAAGCCATCAACATTCTATTCTCCGATTTCGTCAAAAGAGGATTTTGTGGTTTGTGGCAGGTGACTGCACCCCAAATGTCAATTGTATCTGGTGTTTCAATGTCTGCTATGTGGGTAAAAAGGATAAGAAAATGTCAATAAGCTCTCAAATACCGCCATCTGGTTAGTTCACGATGTAGAGCGCCGGAGCTCGAGAGTTCAAGCCCTAGACCAGAACAACACTCGGTCTAAAAATATCTGAGGAGAATGTGCTGCCACCTAGCTATGACATCTGCAAATGGTTTGATATCCGTTTCCTGCATCTTCTCTGTAACTCTTAGCAGGGGACGTTAAAAAACCTGGCAAGGAGGTAACCTGAAAAGATCCATTTCATAAGTTATACTGCACAATGCAGTCTGCCCGAAAACTTCCCCGAAAAGTGTTGAAAAGCGCATAAGAGCACATTAAAATGAAGAACGTGCGAGATAAATTTATCGTTATCATCATCAATTGAAGCTTAATTGGTGGCCGCTTTGTATTAGCTCCTTATTGTTCATTTTCAGTTCTTCCACAAGTTCAAATTTCCTTCATTATCACAATTTTTGTTCCCAGCTAAATGGGAATTAAGTCCATTTTATCAAAAATCAGTACTTTCATACCTCAACAGTGATAAATTACCTCGCACCACCGATTATTCTCCCCTTTTCAGGAGCCAGAGCTTGTGTCCAGCTTTACTGGTATAAAGAAGCAAGGAGCTGGTTGTATATGGGATTGGCCGTATCCTTTAACGAATGTTTCAAACGTGATACGAGATGCATTGCGAGTAATATTTCAAGAGAAATCAATACGTTCCGGAGAGATTCTTCAACACATAACGCAAGCAATGTTCTCTTATGCTTCACTGAGCAGTTTAAGTAAGCTAAAATATTCTTAAAGAGTTCTTTCGATTATTCCACGAAACTTTACTCAAAAGAAGAGGACACATAAATTAATTCTCAGAGTTTGAGCTCAATGCCCCTCATTTTTGTCTTCAGACGAGCATCACTATGACGACCGAACCTAAACCAATAAGTGCGCTTCAGAGCTAGTTAAAACTCTACCATAACTTGAAATCAAATCTCTAAAAAGACCCACATTTGAATTATGATCCCAGTTTTAAGGTTCTATCTAATACTCTTGCTGTTTTTTTAAGATACACATTTCACCGCATTTTCACAAATCTGCTCATGACCCTTGACACGTTTCAAGGTTGAAAATAACAACAAACGTCTACTTCAATTACTACGGAAAACTAATGCTGAACCATTAGTCACAGCAAACGGTTCTTCCAATCTCGGCAACGCTTATCAAGGTCTAGGACAGTTCAAAACAGCCATCCAGTACCATCAACGTCATCTAGAAATTGCTAAAGAAGAGGGAGACAAGGCCGGAGAGGGAGGAAGTTATTGCAATCTCAGCAACGCTTATCAAGGTCTAGGACAGTTCAAAACAGCCATCCAGTACCATCAACGTCATCTAGAAATTGCTAAAGAAGTGGGAGACAAGGCCGGAGAGGGACGAGTTATGCAATCTCGGCAACGCTTATTCGGCAACAACGCTTATCAAGACAGACAGTTCAAAACAGCCATCCAGTACCATCAACGTGATCTAGAAATTGCTAAAGAAGTGGGAGACAAGGCCGGAGAGGGAAGAGGTTATTGCAATCTCGGCAACGCTTATCAAGGTCTAGGACAGTTCAAAACAGCCATCCAGTACCATCAACGTCATCTAGAAATTGCTAAAGAAGTGGGAGACAAGGCCGGAGAGGGAGGAAGTTATTGCAATCTCGGCAACGCTTATGACAGTCTAGGAGAGTTCAAAACAGCCATCCAAAACAGCCATCCAGTACCATCAACGTCATCTAGAAATTGCTAAAGAAGTGGGAGACAAGGCCGGAGAGGGACGAAGTTATTGCAATCTCGGCAACGCTTATCAAGGTCTAGGACAGTTCAAAACAGCCATCCAGTACCATCAACGTCATCTAGAAATTGCTAAAGAAGTGGGAGACAAGGCCGGAGAGGGACGAAGTTATTGCAATCTCGGCAACGCTTATCAAGGTCTAGGACAGTTCAAAACAGCCATCCAGTACCATCAACGTGATCTAGAAATTGCTAAAGAAGTGGGAGACAAGGCCGGAGAGGGACGAAGTTATTGCAATCTCGGCAACGCTTATCAAGGTCTAGGACAGTTCAAAACAGCCATCCAGTACCATCAACGTGATCTAGAAATTGCTAAAGAAGTGGGAGACAAGGCCGGAGAGGGACGAAGTTATGGCAATCTCGGCAACGCTTATCAAGGTCTAGGACAGTTCAAAACAGCCATCCAGTACCATCAACGTCATCTAGAAATTGCTAAAGAAGTGGGAGACAAGGTCGGAGAGGGACGAGGTTATTGCAATCTCGGCAACGCTTATCAAGGTCTAGGACAGTTCAAAACAGCCATCCAGTACCATCAACGTGATCTAGAAATTGCTAAAGAAGTGGGAGACAAGGCCGGAGAGGGACAAAGTTATGGCAATTTTGGCAACGCTTATCAAGGTCTAAGACAGTTCAAAACAGCCATCCAGTACTATCAACGTCATCTAGAAATTGCTAAAGAAGTGGGAGACAAGGCCGGAGAGGGACGAAGTTATGGCAATCTCGGCAGCGCTTATGGCAGTCTAGGACAGTTCAAAACAGCCATCCAGTACCATCAACGTCATCTAGAAATTGCTAAAGAAGTGGGAGATAAGACCGGAGAGGCGTTCTCACTCTGTTCCCTTGGAAGCAGTTTCGAGTGCCAAGAAAATCTTATGAAGGCCTTTGACTGTTACTACTCGAGTGTAGAACTGCATGATGATATCAGGGCCAGTCTTGAACTCAACGATCAGTGGAAGATTTGTTATCGTAATCAGCACCAAGTAGCATACAAAGGTTTCTGGCGTATACATCTCAATCGAGGTCAAGTTGTGAAGGCTCTTCTTGGCACAGAGAAAGGACGTGCTCAAGCTCTGAGAGATCTCATGGTCACAAAATATAAGCCTGGAGATTCTTTAATGCCCAGCGCATCCCGCATTTCTCTGAGGTGGGTTCCACTGAGCACAGTGTTCATAGCTATTAATGGACCATGCGTTTACCTCTGGGTTTGCCTCAGTGAAAATAATATCCAGATGAGAGAAGTACACGTGAACAATTATAAGTATGAGGATGAATTGGAATGTTTCATCCAGCTTCTGAACAAAACTGCTCTGAAGGAGATCGGTGTAAGGGATACTGTTACAATCGAAAGTCTTCCTCGTGATTCGCCGACAGAGGAGGAAGTAGCCGATGATGTGATTCGAGTCGATGTGAGGCACTCCCAATCAAGTGCTTTAAAGAAGCTGCATGACATCATCATTACTCCTATTGCTGATCTGATCGAAGGCAACGAACTAACATTCGTTCCTGAGGGGCCATTTTGCCTTGTACCTTACGCAGCGTTGCAGGACTCCAACTCATCATATCTAAGTGATTCTTTCAAAACTCGTGTGCTTCCTTCTCTGACGACCTTGCAATTAATTCATGATTGTCCAGCTGACTTTCACACGAAGACTGGTGCATTGCTTGTCGGCGACCCATGTTTCAAACATATCATCTATGAGGGAACACTTTTGGTGCAACTTCCAGGAGCAAGGAAAGAAGTGGAGATGATCGGACGTATACTCAATGTCTCCCCTCTCACAGGAGAAATGGCAACAAAAGATGAAGTGTTGAAACGAATAACATCAGTGGCCTTAGTTCACATAGCAGCGCACGGTAAAATAGAAACTGGAGAAGTTATCCTGGCACCAAACACCACAAGAGATAACCCTCAGCCGCAAGAGAAAGCCTATCTGCTGACGATGAAAGATGTCATAGAAGCTGGGTTGCGAGCACGTCTGGTTGTACTTAGCTGCTGTCACACTGCTCGTGGGGAGGTCATGGCCGAGGGTGTGGTCGGCATGGCGCGTGCACTTTTGGCTGCCGGTGCCCGATCTGTTGTAGCAACCTTGTGGGCGATTGGTGACGAAGGAACCCTAGAGTTCATGAGTTTCTTCTACGATGCACTTGCCAAAGGCAAGAAGGCCAGTGAAGCTCTCAATCAGGCCATGAAGTGTATGAAAGAAATTGAAAAGTTCAAGGAGGTTTGGCAGTGGGCACCATTTGTACTCATTGGTGACGACGTCAACCTGGATTTCAAGGAGATTTAGAAGCTGCAGCAAGTAATAATTCTGTTGATACATTCTATTCAATACCAAGTTACATGAAATCATAAGCTTTGCTCATATGTGAGCAGTGATACTTGCGTGTTATTTTCCTTTCAGTTGGGTTGCGAATTTATTTTTCTCTCCGCAAACTGAGAAGCAGCACAATCAAGTGGACACGTTTACGATATGATGATAACATTCTTTTTTGGAAACATGAGATTTTGTTTTAATTTGTTTTAAAACAATTCTGTTGTACAATGTATCGTTTCATGTGCTAAGAAATATTTCATGGCAACTCAACTATCCTCCCTAAACTTAGATTCTTTCATTTTTCAGTTAAGGCAGTTAGCATTGGAATCCCAGGGAGTTTTCGGATACCTACAAATGCTGATACTTGGACCAGAAACCAGTAAGCTACCGATGAAACCTTTGTCAAGAGTCTTCTTTTCATCAAAGCAGGAAGAACCAAAAGACGGACAAAGTCAAGTTTAACAAGGGAACAGATTTCCATTGATTAAAAAGTTGCCTTTTTGCTTGTCTGAACTGCTTTTGCGAGCTTAATATCCTTCTCAAACTACTGTTTGTTTTTGTTTTTTGTTTTTGTTTTCATATGATGTCTTAAAATTATCATGACAAGCTATGTGAGAAGTTATTTTTAATCTAAGTATTTTCTATTCAGAGGATTTGGGTGTAACATTTATGTCGAAGTTGAAACGTCTTGGAAACGTTTTCCATAGTTTTTTACAGACTTTTCTCAACCGGTTTACTCTCATGAGTGATATAAAGCTATTACAGCCATGTGTGTGTGTAGAGAATTTCCATAGGAATTGAAGAATAATCAGTTGTCCGATTGCTCGATTATCTTAGTCTATGTCAGATGGAAATTGTGATGAACTTTAGTTTAGTTTCTGCTGATCAGACCTTGGTTTATCTGGACTGAAAATGACAGATTTTGGCCGTAATGGCGAGGATTTAGTCTTGGTATAAGTTAACTTTCTGAGATTTCTCCTTTAATTTTGAATACGATAAATTGTGTTATTTTTTACAAGCAGAACGATGCATTTTAAGTATATTGTTTAATCTAATCGCCCAAAGGAAAAACGAGAAGTTTTATTTTATAATTTTAGTTATGGCTTTCAAAGCATTGAAGGAAGCTCAGAACGAGCTGGAAAGTTGGAGCCAAATGATTTTATTTAGTTTCTCCGATTAGACTGTTTACTTATTATCTAAGAACAATAAACTAACATTTGAATGTCAAACAATGAAACAAGTCACTTGGTATTTTGTTGGAATGGAAGAGGAAATCAATAACGAAGGGAAGAAAATTTCTACATCAATCTGCATAAAGCCATTTCTTGTCGTTTGAAGTAGTGAGCGCGCCTGTGTCTTATTCGCTTAATAAGTTTTGCCATTTTTCTGCTACGGTTAACGCAGACTAACACAAAATAACACATTGTAGGCAGGAAATATTTTCAAGGTCAATTTTTTTCTACAACTAAGGGTTCAAATTTGTCAATATTTACGCCTAACAGCTAGTTTTTTTACCGATATACGGCTAACGGCTAACGGTTAACCCCATGGAGACCCTCGACTGGGTGACATGCAAGATGTAAAATGAAAACGGTTTTAGAAGGTGGCATTTGCAACTCGAATGTAGAGAGCTGGTTTTTGAGGAGTGATGAAAACCGGGAAAAACAAGCCATAAAAAAATCGTGGAGGTAAGGATTAACCTGGGAGAGACGGTCATGGGGAGAGCGTTGTCGGTAGCATTCCTCTTATGTTCCATCTGAGATGCTTAATGAAGCTAACGCGAGACATTCACCGAAGTGAAGGCGAGCAAGGATAAATTTCCTTCCCCCTTTAAAGACCTTGTACCGGATCCGAAAAGTCAGTAAGCCCTGATATTTTGACTTCACCCCAGATCTAAAAAAACTGCAACAAGTCAGATGTTTTAGTAGGAGTTCGCTGCCGACAATAGCATATATTTCAGTCATTTACGAAAGAGCCATGGGAAGGGGGGGAGGGGTGGGTCGAGGTTCCGTTTATCCCCCCGGGATGGGAGTGTGCATATATACGTGTTTTCAAGGTTAGCATCACAGGTGGGATTCTCAAGAATCTTAGAGCTACAATTTTAGAAGGTAAAGATAAGAATTTTTCCGAAGACTTGCTGGACTTAATAGGCTTCTTTCTTCTGCTTAGACTTTCTCTTCGTGCTCCATAGCCCTACTCTATCTACCTTTATAATAAAGTTCGGATATAACGCGCGCTCTCATTGGTTGAAAGAGCGTGCTCTATGAGAGTATAGAGCATAGAACTGAGCTAAAGCTGTCACGCCATCTTCCAAATTGTACCATGTTCAACCTTTTCCGGGACTTCTTTTTAGCTTTTTTTCCGATAATTGAAAGTGAAATTTCGGAACAAGCGAGCCGGCAAGTAGTAACAGAAGAACCAAAGAAAGGTTTGTAAACATACCAGGCGCCGTTATTTACGTTATTAAAACGTGGGCAGATACGAAAATCCTCAAAGGAAAAACAAAATACACATTCCGAGTTTTATACATTTTCACGCTCAGTTAGCCTAACAGTTAGCAATCGGATTGCAAGCTTACGTACGGTAATGAAAATCAAACACAGCCAACACTCGTATAGTCTATAGAGTTCAGAGTTCAAAAACAAAACAGAAAAAAACAGAAATGATGAAAAATATAACCAAACTGGCATAATTGTTAAAATTCATACTAATCATGACGGTGTCCGAGCAAATATGATCATGCTGAAGTCCATCGCGCGGCTCACTTATCATGCCGATCTCTAGTCATCACAGTAAAAGCAAGCCTCAGAAACTACATCGGCCGCTCTTCGAGTGAAAAAATAAGAGCTCGCTCTGATATCCTTTCCAATGTGTTGAGTGGAAAGTCACTTCAGTCACTGCAGCCGAGTTTTGCGGCGCTGTCATCCCGAGCGATCTTCATGTTCCGGTGAATTCGGCTGTCGTTCATTTAAAAAACACTCGCCTTGAACAGCTTGTTTTCTACCTTGTCATGTGAAAAAACCCGCGTGTTTTTATGAGCCATAATTCGGCTGAAGTTCACTGAACATTTCACTTCAAGATTCCGATTTAAAAAACTTCAGGCAAAAGCGTTAAATTCGACCTGCCGAATTATTTTAGTTTGTAAACTATCACAGAGTGTGAACTTTGATGGTTTTTGAACTTTGATGGTTTGACACTTTTGACAGCTTTTGTCTTGTACAGCCAATCAGATTATTTGAACCATTCTAACAGGGATTCTGATTGGCTTATTGTAGCGTGCTCTATGAGAGTATAGAGCATGCTGACGTCACTGTTCTTCGCTTTGGAAATAAGGTTTGTTTTGAAAATTGAAAGTAATACATGGGGAATTTAACGGATTCTTTATCATAAAACAAATAGAGAAGCCTTGACTGTGCTCTGTTCTGTTATAAAGCACTTAGGAAGCGGCTAGAGCACTCAAGAAGTGGGAAGAAACACTCAACTACTGCCCCATTCACACCAAAGCTTAAACATGTTTAAAAGTTGTTTTGTTAAACACAGTTTAATTTTTTTTTTCTTCATAGAAACTATTTAACCGAATATTTTTGACTTGAATGTAGCACATTGGAAATGCAAGTTAGCAAGTACTTGAATCCAATGGAAAATCAAGTTTTCCAGTTCTCTGTTTATAATTTTCATTCAATGAAAACCAGTTTAACAAAACATGTTTTGCTGGTGTGAATGGGGTATACGTCTCGTGTTTCTCCCCACACTTCTTTCGTGCTCTAGCCGCTTCCTGTGTGCTTTATAACAGAACAGAGCACAGTCAAGGCTTCTCTATTTGTTAAATCTTACAGCGGTTTTCAGTATATATCACACAGGTGAACGGTGCTTTTTGCGTGGGCTGTTGGTTTGGTGTTTATCGCCTGCGCGTGTATCAACCCGGGAATCGACTTTCCAACTCTAGCTTGAAAAGAAACATTTACACTTATAGCGGTTTTTTAGTAAATACCATATTGGTGAATAGAGCTCTTCACGTCGGCTGATGGCTTATTCGGAATGAATAGTCGAACCTGTACTAAGCGGTCGGTTGTAAAATTCCCGAACTTTTTTCCTCTTATGTATTTTCTTTTTCACCGCTTTTCAGCGGTGGTCTCTATTAAGCGGTTGTGGTCATCCTTGACTGAGTCCCATCGGCCTGTTCGCGTTGTATGGAACGGTCACTTAGGGAGGAACCACTCGAATAAAACGACGAATTGTCTCTGAAGTAAAATTTATTCCATATTTGTCTCCTAAAATCAATGTTAGTATTTAGAGTTCAAATGTCCTCAACGCATTGCAGATTATCTTCCCCCCTAGGACTATTTGTATCTGACAAATATTACGCAAGAAAATTACTCAAATCATTTGCTGGGTAATTATCAAGAGGTCTAATTGTTAGAATTCTAATTTATTGTTCTGTTTTTACGCTGCATCATCATTTTGTTGAGGTTATTCGATACATTTCAGTCATAAATTCAAGTGTGAAGTGAAAAAGACAACTGCACTTTATTTCCAGAAAATAAAAAAATTAAAAATTAAAAGAATCCACATACAATTTCAGAAGAAATAAATAAACAAGGCCTACTCTAATTTAAGACACGGAACAGAACGAAAAGGAAGATCTGTAAAGAGAGATTTTTAATTTGCAAAACAAGAATCCGTGAGAGGGTCTGTTAGAAACCTCAAAAAAAAAAATTCATCCGCAAAACCGCAAAAAAAAAAACAACAACAACAACAACAACAATTCGATCAAAAACCGAAAACCGTATGCAAAACCGTCAAAACATATAAATCTTCGTATCCCAGTTCTCAAAACCTTAATCGATCCGATACAGTGTTGACAAGTGAAGCACACAGAGGTTTCGCGGCTTTTCGAGATCAGAGGAGGCGCATAATGACCGCTTTGGTCGAAGAGAAACCAGAATCCAAGTAGGAAAATCCGAAAACCATATCAGAGATCAAATCCAAAGCCCATTAGACGAGTATTTTTGACGAAAACCGAAAACCAAATGCCAATGAACAGAAAATCCGCAAACCGCAATGAACACGCAATCTGAAAAACCGAAATTCTTTGGCACAAAAACCGATCTTAAAAAAATATGGAAAATTCCAATGCCTCCCTCGAGGATGAAAAAGTCAGTTGAGTCTACAAATCCCACAAATGATAACACAACAACCATTATTATCACTGAAACCTCAACGAAAACTTTTTTATTATTATTACTTTTGAATCAGAAACATGCTTGGAAACAACTTTAATCACGCGATGTTTTCTCAGGGAAGGTGTCGATGCTTGGCACCTTGTAAATTGCACAGCTGCAGCCTCACGGAATTTTATTCTGAATTATAAATTTGCATTTTATGGCTAAATGGCACAGTCCTTCCTTTAAATACAGAAGACGATTGATCTCTTCGCGAACGTAGTGAAGATTCAGCAAAGAACACCACAAAGATGTTCATATTTTTTTCTATAGAGTCATTTTATATTACATGAAATTGTTTTTGAATGACAGCGCGTAAAACCTCGAATAGCTTTTTGCAAATTTCATGCTGCGAGTTTGAATATCTTTCAATAAATAAACGATGTGCCTCAAAGAGACGACAGCGTAACGAAACAACCAAATCGCAGAACGAGCGGGCGCGAATCTCGAGCGCAGTCATTCGTGAAAATATCGACATCCACAACAGAGTAAGTGCCTCCGCGAATCTATTTGCCATTTTCAAAGCAATCTAGCGTGGCAACTGCAAGCGGTTCAACCTCCCTAGTTTGACAGCTCCTTTCATTTGGTTCCGTGAATTTGAATTAGATTATGGTTATCTTATGACCTATCGTCTTTCTCGGAAAATTAGCGGAAGAGAAATAACAGGATTCTGGAAGCTAGCTAAGTTGGTGACCGCTGACTGAAGTACAGGAGAGTTTCAAAGATGGCGCGAAATTTCAGAGAGTGATGTGAACAGATCCCCATACTAAAATGGTTTGTTAGTCGTTGTAGTTCTCAGCGCCAGTGTTTTAACGGGTGTTTTAATTATAACTACATATTTTTCTACAGGACATTCGATCGTTCTTCAGCCCTTCTGGAAAGACAGCGAAGCAGGGCGCTTCGAAAGTAGAAAAAATAAGTGCGGGAAAGATTCTATGGTGAAGTCTTTATCGAAACAAGATGTAGGAAAGAGCCGAACGAAAAGCAAGGTAAGCAATGGATTATGTAGCATTTGAGAGAGAAAGTTATATGTGTTATCAGGGAATTCGACTTCAGAGGTGACGGAGAAAAGATCTGCCCATATCACAACTCCTTGGCCTGTCTGACTGAATCGATCATCATATGTGTCTATATACTCGGGTGCAATTCACATTTCCGTCAATCTTCTCCGGGGGAGGGGGGGGAACACCTCATTTCGCCAAAATTGGTATTTATTACCATACATGCTAAAATTTCCTTTGTCGTGAATCTTTTATTTAGCGCTTGGTAGGTAATTTGACAACATGTTTTAACCAAGAGTTTCATTCCACTACATATATCTAACCCAAGGTATCTTTCTGGACTGGAATGTGAGAAATGGTGTGGTTCTGTGTGTTAACTAACTTTGTAGGAATAATTTTCAATAGTCTGTTGGAGTATATCTGGGTAGCTGAGTGAGGTTGATTAGTTATGATGTTTTGCCTTGTTTTTTTTAAAATCTTAAACAGGGTTGTAAAATGAAGCAATTGTGTCTTCATTCTTTAACTCCCAAGATCTGTTTGCTAATTCTCTCCTCTGGCTGCTACACATTTCCTTGTACATTTGTTATAGGAATTTGTTGTTAGGTCAAAATAATAACTTTTTCACTACTCTTTAGTTGGATATTGTATGGATGTTTTAGGGAGAAGTTACATGTTAATCACATCTGAGAGTTTAAGGGTTAAACTGTGTAATGTGATACACTGCTACCTAAATTTCACTCAAGTTCGAAATATCCAGGACTTTAACTTTCCCTACAAATTTGATCAAACTGCAGCTTACCAAGTCTGTAGAGCAGTTGCAGTATTCAATACTAATGCTTATTTTGTGATTTTGACAAGTACTGGTTAATTTTCATTTATTCAGACTGAAGGGAAAATGAAAGGCGACTGATAAAAAAACCTTGAGACTCCACCTCAACTCCACCTCTGGCTAACCCAGACTATTTTTTCCCCAAGCCTGGTGTCCTCTCCAGAATAAATAAAACTATTATTATTATTATCATTATTATTATTATTATTATTATTATTATTATTGTTATTATCTTGATTTTCTGAGCTAGAGGGAAATGTCTTGTAAGAAAGTTGTGCTCCAAGGAACAACACCCCTTTGATGTTATTCAATTCTGTTTGGTCTTTGTTGTTATTATTAGGTCCAGAGAATGGTATCAATCTCACATTTGTGTGAATAAAAAATAGGTAGTTGTTAATTTGCTTGGCAGGGCTTATGGAGTAGTGAAGATGATGACATTGCCTGGAAACAAAAACCAAAAGAAAATCAGAAGAAGAAGAAGAAAGGAAAAAACATTATTGACTCAGGTAATGTTCTAGGATGAACATGAACAGTTTCAAAAGGAACAGATGTTGAGACTCTACACAAACTGTTATACCTCTGTATTAGTTTTAATGGTTTCAATGTACATGTAAGCTAGGTAGTTGTGCTGTACAGTGTCCTTGTCAATTCCCAATGCAGTTTGTATTATTATGGAAACATGGTGTAAAAAGATTCACATAATTGTACGTATAACATCACAATGATGTCCTGACCCTATTTCTAAATTAATCTTACATCTCTGTTAGACTCTGATGAAGATCCTCTTCCTCCAAAAATCAGGTATGTGATTTGTTTCTTGAATTTTGTTCCCTTTCATACAGTTGTAGTTAATCCTTTAACTCCCAGAAGTGATTAACATGAAACCTCTCCCTATGATATCTACACATTATTCAGCAAACAGGTAATGAGAATATTTAAACTTATCAAGTAGAAGCTGCTATCTTGATCTAGCACCAAGCTCTCATGACTAATTTCGAAGGAGATGTGTAGCAGCTAGAGGGGAGAAATAACAATCAGATCTTAGGAGTTAAAGGGTTAAACTTTTGTACCCTAATATCACCCCTTAATTAAGAGTCAAGGAAATGGTCACCAACTATAGAAGCTCTTGATTATTAAACAAATTCTCCTTGTAATTGGCTTAAAAAATGCATAGAGAACAGTATGGAGAATATGCATACTGATGTCAAGTTGTATTCAGAACCTGGTTCTCTTTCATTCATGTCTCTTTTAGAAAAGCCACATCAGTAAAGAAGGAGGAGAGTTCAAAAGCTAAGAAAAGTAGAAGAGCAATCAGCTTGGACTCAGGTAAACAAAATTGTCTCATTATTGAAGGTACCCTATACTTTTTATGAGAAGGGTGATTGGGAGGTTTTATTTTCACAGGAATCATGATTTCAAAATGTTTTTTTCATGAATTTTGATTAAAGATGACATAATCCTTCCATTCCCATCTGAACAATTTTTTCTTTATGTAAACGCAACCCATGAATGAAGAATTAAATTAATAAAATGTGAGTGACAAACCATTTTGTTTCCCTGATGAATTTCAGGTTATTTGAAAGAGCCAAACTTGTAGGATTAACAGCTTTATAAACAGCTGAGAAAGAGTAAAAATTTGAATTTGTGAATTTGGCTTAATTCTCTTTTTTTGAATTTCATGTGAATGTGAAAGAATTTTAGGTATTTTTCATCATGATGCATGAAAAGGCAATATAGTTTTACATGACTGAGTTCTACAAAAGGGTTTAGGGGACTCTCCTCATTGATGGAGTGAGAGGGCTGGATAGGGAAAATATTTAGTGTTAGGTGAGCTTTATGTAAAACTGATGAGGTTGGTTTTTTTACATCACCTGATCTTTAAGCTTGCCTATGTATTAGCTTGCCAAAGAAAACAAAGCCATCCACTTGATCCTGATCACCATCAGACCACCGTTCCTTTGGATATTATGGTGCTTTAATTGTATTTTGACGTGGTTTCTACAGATGAGGAAGAAGTTGTCCCTTAGAAATAAAAAAAGTCTGCAAAACAAATAGAAAAGTTAGCTTCTAAAGAGGTCCAGCAAGTTAACGAGAGGTAACATGCATCACTCTCTTTCGTTATATTTGATATTTCAGTACCAAACCATGGTGTTCATTTAGAACATAAGATATTGCTTTGGAGAATCATCTGGCTTCTAAAATTGTCCAGGTAAATGTTGTTTGTCTGTTTGTTTGTTTTTTCCTCTCTTCCATCAAGCATCAAGAATGTTAGATCTGTCATAGGACACTGCTCTTATGCTGATACATTTAACCTGTTGACCTCTAAGAGTGACCAGCATCTAATTTCTCCCTACTTCCCTTAATTCCTTGTAGAACAATTCAATAATTTTTTATCCTTTTTCATTTCCAACAGAGATCTGACAAGTCTGAAGAAAATAAAGACTCCAAAGTGAGTAGAAAAGAAGAGTTTAAAAATGGGAGAGAAAAATGAAAGAAGAGAAAATGGGAATGTCAACCATCACACAACAGAGCAACCATCAAAGAAAAGAGAGGAAGACTTCTCAGAATCAAAGTCTGAGGTTAAAAAGCCTTCCCCTGAGAAGAAAAAGGTTTGTAAGCCTTTTGATTACCATCCTTTATTGTTGCAAAATTAATCATTACAATCAAAGCTTAGACCTGCTACCTTGATACTAGAGTGGATTGGACTGGACCTGATATGATTTCATGTGTATGGTAAGTATTATCAAGCACTTGAATAAGGTACTTGTACATGAAGCAGTAACATTATTTTTATGACTTAATTTGGCTCGGTATAAGATCCAAAAGCTTACTCAAACTTGTCAACTGGTGGTACATGAGCATGTTGTATATACATTAACCTAACTAACAATACTTGCAACCAAACATTACTTACAATACTAACAATACTTGCAACAAAACATTACTTACAATACTAATACTACTCAAAATACTACCATTACTGTACCTAGAATTCATACTAAAAACAGTAACAATAGTGACAAAATTTTCAGTTACATTCCTGGTGACTTCAACTTTGACATTCCAAGAAGATGCTGCCACTTTGTCTCTGCTTTTAAAGCAGCAGTGTCTTTTACCATCAACTTTCCAATTTGGGACAACTCTTGCCTACACTGGACAACTCTAAGGTGTTAGAATGTTTGATATACATGTAACTTTTGCTCACTTCAAATTTTATCCATGGACTTTTCAGGAAGTACCAAAGACAACTCCTGCTAGCAAACTGGCCACCAAAGCTGCCACAGTTCCAGAAACTCCAGTTAGAGACTCCAAAAAAGGATGTTACTCCAAAAAAGGATGAAAACGATGTCTGTAAGGAAACTCCAATCAAAGGAACACCAAAGGTGTCAAAATCAGAGGAAGTGGTTGAAGTTCCACCCTCATTGGTAAAGAAAAAATCAGGCTACCATAGTTTTATGGCAAGAGATGGTCCAAGGGCACTTGGTTCAAAGGAAATCCCTCAAGTAAGTTTCAAAGTCCAAGATCTGATTGTTAATTCTCCCCTCTAGCTGCTAGATGTTTTTCTGTAAATAAATAATGAGAATTTGTTGTTTCATCATTATTGTAAGGTTTTGTAAAGGTTTATTTTCAGGCTTCCTTTCTACCAATTCCTTCACATTCATGAACCAATCATTAAAGCACCTAGTATGACCATATTGCGAAGTGTCAATCACACAATTATAACAACTACATGTACCTGATAAGTTTTTGTGTTCACAGCACCTGTTTGCTGGATAATGTATGGATATTCTAGGGAAAAGTTACTTGGTAATTAATTCTGGTAGTTAAATTATTGTCTCTCAAAGCTCTTTGTGGTTTGGTTTCCATCCTTTCAAATAAATTTTTAATGAGAGATGCAAGACAAAGGGAAATGAAGATTATTAGAACTAAGGCTGGTTTGGAAAATTTACAGATACAGTTTACAGAAAAAAAATTGCAAAATGCATGCTTTGATTGAGCCTTTTACTCCCAAGATCTCTATAGTAATTCTCCTAAATGTCTGCTGTACAATTCTTGTGACATTGGTTGAGAGAATTTGGTCTTAGATCAACTAATAATCCCAAGACTGATATTTGTATTTATTCTCACTTCTTGTCTGTATGATATTGTATCTATATAGTAAGGAGAAATTCTGTCTTGGTCACTCATGGGAGTTAAAGGTTTAAAAAAAATATATTTTTTATCCTTTTACTCTCAGTTGTTTTACAAATGTTGGATCAATATCAGTATCTAAGAAACTGCACACCTACTCCTCCCTTAATCCAACGTTAACTGTCATCAGTTGACTGTTGTTGGGTTAGGGGAGGGGTAGGTGCAGTTAGGGGAGGGGTAGGTGCAGTTAGGGGAGGGGTAGGTGCACAGATGATTAGATACCAACATTGATCTGATCTCAGTTTGGACAGTATTAACAGGTCTTCAATGGAAGAATTAATAATTTGTCTGCACCTCTCTAATCATGCTTGCACTTGAAAATTGAATTTTTAGAGAGCGGAAATTTGTGTGGATGGACTGTCAGTTGTTGTTAAGGGAATCTTGGAAAGTATCGAGAGAGAGAGGAGGCTGCTGATTTGATTCAAAGATAATTATGGTGAAAAAGTTACCCAATCAGTGTGCTTGCAAGAAAACAAGTTATGTCATGGTGGGACAGGATCTTGGAGAGAGCAAACTTTCTAAAGGTACATTGTAATGCACAGCTCACAACAGGAAAAGGAATAAAAAAAAAAGCACCATGAACACCAACATATAAGCTGCACCTTTTTCCCTAAATTTTTTGTTACAAATCAGGGGTATGGCTTAGTGTGAAATCACTAGGGAAACTTGCCACAAATTTGCATAAATTAACACAATTCATTGATGATAACAATGAAATTTCATCGGAGCCACAGGCTAGTGTGCTACTGATAACATAATTTGTTCATCTTCATTTCCCTTCTTCCATCTACTTATATCTATCTATGGGTTTGTCCATTTTTCCTTGCTGTCATCTGTCTAGCAGTCTGTCTGTGTGTCTAAAGGGGGTAAGTTTTTTAATAAACTGTGGTGCCTCATCAGTGGGGAGATTAACAAGATAATGTGGTTTTATCAACTGAGTTGATAATTTAGATTGGCCTTCCTAAATAGTTTCTAAAGCTGTTTCAAGCATCAGCCATCTGCTCTGAGGAAGGACTTAAGCTTGAAACGTCAGTATTAGAAACTCTTTTTGGCAAATTTACAGTATCACTCAGTTTATCTGTCTGTCTGTCTGTCTGTCTGTCTTGTGTGAGTACATTCATCCAATTACCTGTCTTTCTATCTGTCACTCACTCTGCTCTTTCCTTCTTTCCAGTCACCCACACCTCAGTTTTACCACTACCCTAAATTCCACCTTGGAGTTCATCTGTTGGTTCATGTATCTGTTCCTCCACCTGTAGACTTGTTTGTGTCACTTAAACTGAGTTACAAGACAGTATAGTTTTTGTTTAATCCTTTACACCCTAACATCAGTATGCATATTCTCCATACTGTTCTCTATGTATTTCTTAATGTGCGGCCAAGGAGAATTTGTTTAACAATCAAGAGGTTCATCAGTTGGTGATCATTTCCTATATTCTCATGACCTTAATGATTGATTCAGGGGTGATATTGAAAGGAGAAATTAGATGCTAGTCACTCTCAGGGATTAAAGGGTTCATCTAAATAAGATTTTGACAGTAAAGGTCATTTTGTTTTTGTGCAGAAGAACCAAGTGTGTTATGGGTAGACAAATGTCGACCTCGCGCAGTGAATCAGATTATTGGTCAGCAGGGTGATAAGAGCAACATGAGAAAGCTGATGAACTGGCTGAGAGACTGGGGAAAAAATTGAAAGAACTCAGCCTCTAAATGTGAGTACAAGTGTATTTGATTGTCAAGATGCTTTTCCCTCACGAGTGATTAAAAAACACGGACGAGCGCGAAGCGGGGGTCCGATTTGTAAATCACGAGTTAATTTACTCTTAATCAAAACTATAACAAAATTCTCGAACGTGACTGGTTATCACCAGCCCGATTTAGCGCTAATGGGACAGTGTAGGCGTCATGCTTGTAATTGGACAGTTAAAGGGACAGTTAACACGTCATGCTTATGTATAAAGTGGACAGAACGCATCATGAGCGCGCACTGTTGTCTCGCATTTCGCCGAGTTAACTGTTGATATTTTTATGAAAACGTAAAACCGATGTCTAGTTTCTTTCTCAAATGTTGTCATAGTTTCGAGTAATTCGTAACAAGACTTCGTGTCGTCAAATTCAGTCTGTAATCATACTGGGGATTAACAAATCGGACTCCCGCTTCGCGCTCGTCCGATTTTGTTAATCACTCGTATGATTTCAGACGAAACTGGACTCCACTCGGTCCTATTACCTTTATTAATCAGACAGAATTGGACGACACGAAGTCCTTTTACCAATTGTAAAAAAAGCAATTAAATGAGAGACAACAGCGCGTGCACATGACGCGTTCTGTCCACTAACAAAGGCATGACGTGTTAACTGTCCCTTTTAACTGTCCTATTACACTGTCCAATTACAAACATGACGCGTGCACTGTCCTATTAGTGCTCAAATCGGGCTGGTGATAACCAATCACGTTCGGGAATTTTGTTATAGTTTAGATTAGGGTTGTAATCGGATATGGGAGAGGAGATCCTTGTCTAGAGGGCAATTCTCTGAGTCTCCTGATGCTACTGAAATTAACATTAGCATAGGCAAAGTTAGACCTGTGGCTCTTGTGCTGACTTTACCTCTATACCTTTATCTCTGAGTGACCAAGACAAGATTTCTCCTTACAATATCAATACAATATCAATCAGACAAGTTGTGAGAATATTTGTTTTGGATATTTTTTCGATTGGGCAAACCAAAAAATTCACTACTATTTGTATTCCAACAGACTGATTTCCCAATTTTCGAGAATTCCACGTTATTCAGTCCAACAAAGAGAAAGGAGAAGAAGGTGGTGCTCAAGCTCTGAGAGATCTCGTGGCCACAAAATGTCAGCCTAGAGATTCTTCAACGCATAGCGTGCGTTTCTCTGAGTTGTGTTCCATCGAGCATAGTTTTCATAGTTATTAACGAACCATGCGTTTACTTCTAGGCTTGCGTCGGTGAAGATAATATCCAGATGAGAGAGGTACACGTCAACAATTACAAGTATGAGGATGAATTGGAATTTTTCATCCAGTTCCTGAACAAAACTGCTCTTCAGGAGATCGGTGCAAGAGATACTGTTACAATCGGAAATCCTCCGCTTGATTCGCCGACAGAAGAGGAAGTGGCCGATGATGTGGTCCGAGTTGATGTGAGACACTCCCAATCAAGCGCTTTAAAGAAGCTGCATGACATCATCATTTCTCCTATTGATGATCTGATGGAATACAACGAGCTAACATTCCTTCCTGAGAGGCCATTTTGCCTTGCATCTTTTGCTGTGTTGCAGGACTCGGACTCATCGTATGAAAGTGATTCTTTCAGAACTCGTGTGCTTTCCACTCTTTTTCGACGTTGCAACTAATTCATGATTGTCCAGCTGACTTTCACTTTAAGACTGGTGCATTGCTTGTCGGCGATCCATGTTTCAAAGATATCATCTATCAGGGAAGACCTTTGGTGCAACTTCCAGGAGCAAGGAAAGAAGTGAAGATGATCGGACGTATCCTCAATGTCTCTCCCCTCATTGGAGAAATGGCAACAAAACATGAAGTGTTGAAACGAATATCATCAGTGGCGTTAGTTCACATTGCAGCGCACGGTAAAATGGAAACTGGAGGAGTTATCCTGGCACCAAACACCACATGAGAAAACCCTGAGCCGCAAGAGAAAGATTATCTACTGACGATGAAAGATGTGATGGAAGCTGGTTTGCGAGCACATCGGATTGTACTTAGCTGCTGTCACACTACTCGTGGGGAAGTCATGGCCGAGGGTGTGATCTGTATGGCGCGTGCACTTTTGGGTGCCGGTGCTAGATCTGTTGTGATAACCTTGTGGGCGATTGGCGACGAGGGAACCCTGGAGTTCAAGAGTTTCTTCTACAATGCACTTGCCAAAGGTAAGAAGGTAAGTGAAGCTCTCAAGCAGGCCATGAAGTGTATGAGAGAAATTGAAAAGTTCATGTAGGTAATTTACTGGGCACCATTTGTACTCATTGGTGACGACGTCAACCTGGATTTGAAGGATATTTAGAAGCTGAAGCAAGTTAAAATTCTTTTTAGACCTTAATTCAATACAAAGTTACCTTAAATCATAACTATAGCTTATATATAAGCACTGATACCTGCGTGTTACTTTCCTTTCAGTTGGGTTACCAATTCATCTTTTACTCAGACAAATCATTGAGATGCAACACAATCAAGTGGACACGTTTACGATGATAACATTATTTTTAGGAAACACGAAAGGAGTAAAGCAGCAAATTTCTTTTAGAACAATCCTGTTGCGCTATGTATCGTTTCATGTGCTAGGAAATATTTCATGGCAACTCAACTATCCTCCCTAAACTTATTTTTCATTTAAGGCAGTGAGCGTTGGAACCACAGGCAGTTTTCGGATACATAAAAACGCTGATACGCAGAAACCAGTAAGCTACCGATGAAATCTTTTTCAAGAGTCATCTTTTCAAAGCAGGAAGAACCAAAAGGCGGCCAAAGTCAAGTTTAGCAAGAGAACGGATTTCCTTTGATTCAAAAGTTGACTTTTTGCTTGTCTGAACTGCTCTTACGAGTTTCATCTTTGATATGATCCTGCTGAAACTGCTGTTTTTTTCATATGTCTTGAAATTATCATGACTAGCTATGTAAAAAATTATTTTTAATCTAAATACATGTATTACCTACTAAGCGAATTTGGGCGTTGCATTGACGTCGAAGTTGAAACGACTTGAAAATGTTTCCTTGAAATTTTTTAGACTTTTCCTCGATTGGATTTTTTCTCATGAGTGATGTAAAGCTGTTACAGCCATGCGCGTGTGTGGAGAATTTGCATGGAAATTGGAGAATAATCAGTTGCCTGATTGCTCGATTATCTTATTTTATGTCAGATGGAAATTGTGATTAACTTTTCGAGAATTTGTACCCAGTCATTGGTACTTAAAGTTAGTTTCCGCCGAACAGAATTCGGTTTATCTGGCCTTAAAGTGACAGATTTTGGCCGTAATGGCCAGAATTTAGTCTTGGTATTTGTTAACATTCTGAGATTTCTCCTTTAATTTTGAAGGCGAGGCATTGTGTTATTTTTTACAAGAAGAATGATGCATTTTAAGTATATTGTTTGAATTAATCGTCCAAAGGCAAAACGAGAAGTTTTATTCTAATTTTAGTTACTGGCCTACAAAGCATTGAGAGAAACTCAGAACGAGCTAGAAAATGATAGCCAAATGATTTTATTTAGTTTCTTCGATTAGATTGTTTACCTATTATCTAAGTACAATAAACTAGCATTTGAATGTCAAACAATGAAACAAGTCGCTTGGTATTTTGTTGGAATGGAAGAGGAAATCAATAACAAAGGGAAGAAAATTTCTGCATCAACCTGCATAAGCCATTTCTTGTCGTTTGAAGTAGTGAGCGCGCCTATGTCTTGTTCGCTTGATGATATTTGCCCATTTCTTTCAATAGGTTTATTGAATGAGAGATGAACTTCGATATTTTCTGACTCTATAACTGCTAATATCGATTATTGGCAGCCATTGCTTAGGATGTCACGCGACGCACTTCTTTAGCACGTTATGTGACAGATACGATGTTTTGTGAAAGATACGATGTTTTGTCACATCTTGTCGTATGAAGCAGTAAGCGCACCTATGTCTTATTTGCTCAACCTTTTCCCATTTCCTTGGATAAAGTTATGAAATGTAATATAAACTGCGATATTTTCAGATTTTATAACTGCAGCCGTTCCTTAAGATGTCACGCGGCGCGCTTCTTTAGCATGTAAAGCGACATGATGTTTCGTCATATATTGTTGAAGAGGCAATAAAAAAGAAATTACCTTTGGCTTTGGGAGATGGTGCTTTATTCTGTTTATAGAAAGAGTCCTCATCATGGGGGGTACCCTAGGTCGGTGTGGTTTCTCGAGTGTAGGAAATATTGATGAGCGTTGTCCCAGATCACTGGGCATTCCTGTTATGTTCAGTCTGTAAGTCCTGATATTTTGACTTCACCCCAGATTTAAGAAACTGCGTCGACGTAAATGTTTCAGCAGAACATGTCTACTGACGATAGCATATATTATAATCATTTTCAGAAAAGAGCCATGGGGGAGGTTCCGTTTATCCCCTTTGGGTTGGGAGTGTAAATGGGTACGTGGTTTCAAGGGTAGCACCACAAGACGGATTCTCAAGAATCTCAGAGATACAGTTTCAGAAGGTTATGATAAGAATTTCCTTGAGAAATTGCTGGACTTAGGCTTCATTCGTCTGCTTAGATTTTCTCTTCGTGCTTCATAATTCTACTCCATCTACCCACCTTATGGCGGTTTTTACTATAAACCACATAGGTGGATAAAGCTTTTCGCGTGGGCTGATTGGCTAATTCGGAATAAACAGTCGAACCTGTGTCAGGTGGTCGGTTGTCAAATTCCAGAATTTCTTTCCGAGATCCCCCGCCCGGATTAAAGGAGCACACAAAATTGAATGAAATCCAGTTTCGCCGGTAGTCCCACCAATCCAATATTTCACTTCCACCTCACTTTCCACCTCCGCTAATTTTTTTCCGAGAAAGATCAGAGGTCTTTACGATGTTGGAGCTCGCTAACTGTACCAAGCTGTCAGACAAGAGAGACTGAAATTGAATCAATCAGTTTTCTTTGTTTGATTCGAAAATGGCAGATAGTTCAGCGAACACTTTGCAGGAGTAATTACAACGCTGTCGATGTTTTCATGAAAGCGCTTCAGAGCCGCGTGCAAGCCCTCCCTGAGCTCTTCTCATCTGGTTAATTGCGGTTTGTCAACCCTTCGCGCAAAGTCTCTCAAAATTGTAGCCTGCAAGGCAAGAATCCTGTGGTAGCCCAGTCATAAAATGCCTTTGTTTTTTGTCGTCTTTTTTTTTTTTTTCCTCTGCCACAAAATGGAAAAATTGCGCAATAGTACTCAGAGGTCATTGGGCCCTCAACACCATGACAACTAACTGTGATCCAATGAGGTGTTCACATGCTGATCACGCGTGCTATCTTGATGATGATTGACGTTGTCATGTACGGGCAGGGCCGGGTCACATGACGAACACGAGATTTTTGCCCATAAAACTCTTTTGTCAATCGTTTTGTATTTCAATGTGTTTGGATTACGATCATCTGGAGCATTATGGCGCAAACGCTCAAAATACTTATAGACGCATACACAAGTCGTATTGTTCGCGGCCAATCCACACAAAAAGATGTTATTGAGCGGTAATTTTGGAACGGACTGAATCGTGAACGCTTGAAAGCCATGAAAGCATTGAATGCCTTGTATGTCTTGTATGGTAAGTATGCCAATGTCTTAGTTGAAAACGTTAACTCGTTGTAAAAAGCAAAATCTGAAATCTGAAACCAAACTGTATATACTCTATGCAATCTATTGAACAACACTACTACCGTGAGACTGAAGAACAAAATTCAAATGGATGCAAACTGCGTGTGAAGAAAGACACCATGTTGGATTCACTTGATGCCAAGGAACGTAGCTACGATAACAGTGCGAATGGTATTAATTTCACGATCAGAAAGATGAATCTTATGTTTTTTTCCATTGTAGTTGTATGGATATTCTTTTTTAATAAATACATGATCCGAAATCCCGTGTTTTTTGTGTATAATGTTATTATGTTAAGTATTGTTTACGCAATTGTCTTGTCACAGGCAACCCAAGGTCACGTCTCGAGAAAGAGCCAACGATTAATTCACGAACGCGTTACGCGTTGTGTGACTCAGTTAACAAATAGAGAAGCCTTGACTGTGCTCTGTTCTGATATAAAGCACGCAGGAAGCGGCTAAAGCACGAAAGAAGTGTAGGGAGAAACACGAGACGTAGTCGAGTGTTTCTACCCACTTCTTTCGTGCTCTAGCCGCTTCCTGCGTGCTTTATAACAGAACAGAGTACAGTCAAGGCTTCTCTATTTGTTTTATAATAAAGAATCCGCTAAATTCCCCATGCATTACTTTCAATTTTCAAAATAAACTTTATTTCCAAAGCGAACAACAGTGTCGTCAGCATGCTCTATACTCTCATAAAGAACGCTAAAATAAGCCAATCAGAATCCCTGTTAGAATAGTTCAAATAATCTGATTGGCTGTACAAGGCAAAAGCTGTCAAAAGTGTCAAACCATCAAAGTTCAAAAACCATCAAAGTTCACAATCTGCGATAGTTTACAAACTAAAATAGTTCGGCAGGTCGAATTTAACGCTTTTGCCTGAAGTTTTTAATACAGAATCTTGAAGTGAAATGTTCAGTGAACTTCAGCCGAATTATGGCTCATAAAAACACGCGAGTTTTTTCACATGACAAGGTAGAAAACAAACTGTTCAAGGAGAGTGTT